TAAAATGCAAAAAGATTTATAGATACATACGGTGGATAATAATTTAAAACATTTTGCAACTGTTATTACCGATTGTAGTAAAAATTAAACAGATTTCGTTGATTATGTCGTTTTTAATTACAAAACAGTATCTTATTTTATTAAAAAATCTGTTCCGAATTTGAAAACATTTGATGATGAAATGAACTCGAAGGATAAATAAATTATTTCAACAAAAATGATTTATTTCCATTAAAAGGAAATTGAAAATTTAATGGATAAAATGTAAAAAATGTTTAATTAAGATTTGAGCATATAATTTAACTTATATTTTGCTTTTGCTGTGATGAAAAAATTATTATTCTCATGTGATTTTTACGGAGAGCCTTTAGTAATATTTGAATTGGATAAATTTATTATAGCTAATGAAGAACTTCAAAAAAGCTACACCGGATAGGAATTTAATAAGAAAAATGATATAAATAATCTTCCATACTTCTTTAATGTTCAATCTAATCCATGCATTTACAGAATAGAATAAAATAAATAATTAAAAATAGTATATGAAAAACTCAACAAGAGATTATTTTGATTCCAATTTTAATTTAATTACACCAACATATTGAAAATTAAAATTTCATTATATCAAATTAAAAAAAACAAATAAAAAAAAAACCAAACAAAAAAACAAAAATAAAACAAAAAAAAAAATAAAAAACTTTTAGTTTTAAATATTTAAAATAAATAAATAAATAAATAAATAAATAATTAAAAAAAAATAAATTAATAAAATCACATCAAATCAACATAATCATATATTCTATTTTGGTTTGAAATAAATAGACATACCCAAAGAATTCAATAAATCCTTAAAGTGTTTCGACGAATATTATATTTATGTTTTAACAACTTCACTTTTACCGTTACAATTTTTACAATAATATTTTTATTAATTCTAATCTCTATGCGCATATAAACCACAATGAGAACATATATCAACAACAAAACCATCCGAGTGCTACCACGCAAATAATTTTATTACATTTGTTGTACCTTCAGATAAAAATGCAGCCATTTCCATTTCACCTAATCTCGAACCTCCATTATTCTTTGCACCATCTCTAGGTTAAAATACTTAGTTTCTATAAGCTTCATTAAATCCTACAGCATAAAGTTTACTAAAAGCTTTTTATTCTTGAGCAGCATAAAATACAAATCCAACTTGAGCATATCCAATAAATTCTCCAGTTAAAGGATAATAAATCTTTTTCTATCCCAATATATGTCTTTATATTTCTTCTTATCTATCTATCTATCTTCTTCACTTTGATTTGTATCATTAAGATTTTACATTTTATTATAATAATCTAATAAATGTTTATAAGTTTTATTAAGTTGATCTTTTACATCGCAAAACATTGAAGAATCCAAAAACAATCCAGTTAATAACACAAGATAAGAAGTATATTATTCAATATTCATACCTATTGTCATTCTGGTTGAAAATGAACAAGGATTAATTATAATATCAATTGGCGTACCATCATTTGTATATGGCATTTAATTTTCATCTCTAATTGTTCCAATTGTTCCCTTCTATCCGCATCTTGCAGCATATTTATCACCAATTTAAGGATATAATGGAATAATAAATCTTATTATAATTTTTTATTATCCATCAACATTAATTTATTTCACTTTTAAAATTATTCCTTCTTCATATTCAAACTTTATAGATCTATCAATTATTTAATCTTCTTGATTTAAAATTAATATTTTACCTATAACAATATCACCTTTTCTTACAACTGAACCTTCTCTAATTAATCCATTTTCATCTAATTTTTCATAATTTAAATCATGTTAGAAATTTTTAACATCTCCATTCTTACCTTTAATTATATCTGTCTGGTCTTCCTATAATTTCAGTCGATCCAGTTTATTATTTCTAAATAACAACTTCTATTATATCTTATTTACATTATAAATACATAGATTTTGCTAATCTGGATGAAATTGTAATAGAATCTTCTTGTTAATATCCATGTTCTTACAATACTGCAATACATACATTTGTACCGTTAAACTTTTCATTTGTATTTATCATATTTGTTGTCATTGTTTAAACTAAAGGAGCAGAACCTAAAATAAGATATTAATTTATATCGGATCTTAAATCATTATCACTATATGGTTTTTAAACACTTCTCTTCATCTGAACAAAAGCAAAAATATTTCTAGGTGCATAATTACAATGAGGATAAGGAATAGTTGAAGGATTTATACCTAAAACATTTATAGGATGAATTTCCATCAAATCAAAATTTAAATATACTCCTACATATCTATTTTTTTCTTATAATGATATATTTTTTTATTATCCATTAATTCTACTATTTCTTAAAAAGTTATTATATTCTAATATTTGAGCACTTGGTGAAACTAATTTATTACTTATTTCTTAAATATCACACCATTCTATACTTTGAGGAAATTCAGATAAAAATTATTCCCAAGTTTATTTATATTTTCTTTTTAACAATTAATTAATCATATATTTAATTTTAATCTTTTATTTCTTAGAATATTTAATTATTTTAATCCTTAGTTTCAATTACAAATAAAGGTCTTATCATTCTTCCACTATCTCCATAAATTAAAATTTCATTCCATTATCCTTAAACTTCGAAAGTAACATATCTAGGAATTTTA